GATGAAATTGTCTGAATAGTCAATCGTGTCTTTTTAAGGTGAAAGTTTGGATTATACAAATAATAAAGGGCATATTGCAATAAAGTCAATTTTTGCCCACGATTTGTTTCACTTTTATCTATTTGAGAGGTATCGAGGAGCCACTAGAAGTGTTTCCTACGACTCAGTTTTGCAAAATTTCAAAATGAGGTTTGGGTGGGCGTGGCTTTGGGTGTGGTTATATGTTTGTATGAATGGATACTCACTCACAACGACACTCACACCCCACATCGATATAAATTAGGTATTCAAATCAAGTCTGTTTTTTTTTTATCTTAATTTCAAAAAGAGAAAAACAAGCAAGTTCATAGCAAATCTGACACAAAAATTTAAATATTTATTTTTCTTGATTCAGGCAACTGTCTAAGACGAACAAGAAAATGAATTATATGATCTAGGTTGAATTGAGCGACACACGAGAAATAAATCGGTAGAGATATAAAAAAGATGATGAATCGTTTCTAGTTAAGTGAAAAGACACATATACCCACACATCAGTTCCCATAGAGAAAATTCTCCAGTGCAAACAACAGTATTGTAATGATGACTTGGTGAAAAACCTGATTATGTCCGGCCTGGTACAGTCGGATCGAAATCAGATATTAGGATTGATTCGAACTCTGAAGTACAACTTGCATCAACAATTACACTCTTGATAGAAGTGATGTTATAACCGATACCTATTTTCTTTTGAAGATTTTTTTCTTTCAACTAAATAGATTTCTCTTTCAAAATAAAAAGAATCCCTTTGTAATCAACATTCTTAGCAAGCTAACATTATTTTAGGAGAAAAAAGAGGCGTAGAAGAAAGTTTTTGGAAAATTTATTTTGTTTAATTTCACTATATAACAATTCTCTTCTACTTGTTTTCATTAATTGAATGAGATTTTTTCTTTCATCACAGATTAAAAGGAAGAGATTTTTCTGCAGATTCGGTTAACTGCTGAATTAATGAGTTAGAAACAAAAGCTAAGTTAATATCAATTAATATTGAATTTCATTTTTAATTTCAATCTTATTCGTCAGTATAAATATTGAGTTTTTATTATGTCAATTTTATTCAATACTTTTGCTTCTGTTTATCGGTTACAATGATTCGAAGAAAACTTAATCAAGACCTCTATGCACATATTTTGACACAAAAAAAATTTTATATCATTTAAAAATATAATAATAATAGTAATTTTTTCGTTTTTTCTAAAGATAAGTTCATAAATTAGCCATTAGCAGGAAGTATGAAAGAGAAACTAAAATATTTTCAGCATATTTTTAACTATTCAATTCAACTTTATCTACTACTTTTTTTTGTAATGATCGATTCATAAATCAAGTTTTTTTGTTAAACGAGTGAACTTCAAAACTATCATCCAGAATTGAAATGTAAAAATTCAGGGTTTTTTGTATGCAGAAAAATTGTAGATATCGATTTGTTTCGAATTATGTAGATGTTCGATAGTCGTTTTGTAGACATTTGTTTCGATATATTGCTATACAAAGAAGTGTAAAAGTACGAAGTCTAGTGATGATAAAATTCATGAGATCGGTTCATCTCTTTTAAACGACTGATCATCCAATGTAATGACCAGACAGTAACGAAACGTCTAGAGATGATATTCTGATGCTATATGTTGCTGTAGAATTACTTTTTTAGTAACTCTGTTTTTCATTAAACTGCATGAAAGACGCTTCGAGCAAGAATATTATGTTGACTAACCATCGGACTGTAAACAATGATGACACAACGTTCAGTTTGCTTGACATTACAGATCAAACAGTAAGTTTTGTTGAATTCATTGCAACTTTGAGGCAATACATCGATCATTTCGAGTTTTAATACGGTAGTTGTATTTATTAACTCATACCAGAGAGTATGAGTGGACGACAATGTTCTCCTTTTTTTTTTTATCTGATTTCGACAATATGTTTATGTGTTCGACTTTCATGGTATGAAATCTCAATAATTTTTCTATTGAGTGATAGTCATATTCTAATCATCTTATTTCATGATACAACATCGACACAAGTCAAGCATTAGAATTAGTCAAATTTATTTTTGTTATCCGGCAACACTTGAATTTGTAATGATGGCACTGAGTTGTTGCAATGTGCTTTATACACGAAACACAGAAATAAGCAAGTAAATCGATGTGTTATCGAATGTTCCACAAAACATCAATTCTGGATTTATAAGCTTCGAATCGAAGATCATACTTGTCATTAATCCAGAATAGTCATAATAAAACCAAAGAGTGAGAGAACGAAGTGTTGATGGCATGCTTAATAAAAATTACTTTATCGAATAGATGTGCAGAAGTTCTACGTATGCAACGACATTACTTGATCACGGATTTCATCATCAAAACTCGACGAAATTTATCATAGGAAAATTGTTCAGATAAAATAACTAGCATACCATAATAGATTGCTCTAAATGTGAATGCGACTTTTTTCTCCCGCTAAATATCGATCATAAATTTCTCTGACATGCTAAAACATGAGAGACTTTGAGGCTTTATAAGATTGTAGAGATGGTAGAGTTGAGAGCATTATTTTTTGCAATATCATGGATTAAAAACTAAAGACATTCAGCTAGTCTTACGTTGAAGATGAGTATGATTGATTATACGACATAGTCCAATGATCCACATATCCTTATGCATATACACACCCATTCATTTTTTCTGTTAGACATGATTCCTCGAAGATGTAATGAGACAAAAAAAATATTGATCCGAGGAATTAAAAAAAATTTATTAACTTTTGTAAAACTTTTCTCTTTAAATAAAAATAAGCTTCGACCATAGATTGAGTTAGAACAGAAAAACTCGATCATGATCATCGAGGTATTGAACTTGAAACATGAGTATCAAAACCAATGATTATTTTTCGAGTGAAGTTTTCATCTTCATTCATACCGACACTTACATTCACACCAAATTCCATTCAAGAGATTTCTTTCTCTGGAATGATAGCGGGAAGAGAAAATGAAATATATGCAAATACTTTTCAAGTGATTTCAAGGTTGATGAGCGTTAATGAATCTCATCCATGAGTAAGTTACTGTGATAAAAATACCAACTATTATTCATTATAAAAGAAAAGAAAGTTGAATATTTCTAGATTAATTTTTGATAGGAACAAGATAGAGATCTGCGGTTTTCACGGTTTGAAAGAGAAGACGAAACTGCATCAGATTGTATATACTTGAATAGTGAATAACTGTAAGTCTTTGTTTTTTTTCCTATTAAAAATAATTTCACAAATACTCGTTCTTCTTTTATTCTGAAACAAATAATAGACATGAATATGTCTATTTTTAATATGTAATTAACGCGCATCAATTTTGTGTTCGTACGTTTCTTTCTTTTTTCGCTCGACAAACTGAGTGATAAGTAGTCGTTCTCTTACTCATTCACATAAAATACGTCATCGAAACTAAACAAAATAGCAAAAAAAAGAGCAGCACCATGTGACGAAAACAAATGATCATATGCAATAAAAAAAATCATTTCTCGTTCGAGTGTACATTATTGCTAACATAATGTATAAAACTGTCGCATTCATCTGTACTGTGTGTAACTGAAAAGTAAGTTAAACATAACGGGACACTTAACAATAGTTTTTAAATCTAGTTCTGAGCTTATTCACTAGAGAATTTATTTCTCTACAAAACTGTTGAATACGTCTTTCAAATTTATTTTTCTTGCCAGCAGAAAATTTCAAAGATCAATTCCTATGCACTAGTCCATTTGTAAAGATAAAAGAGTCGAAAACATGTATGAAAATATTTTTAAACAAAATCCTACTGAAATTTCAAATTTGTCACGAAATTCTATACAAAACTCTGCATCTTTTGATTTGATTTTCAAAATTTTAGAGTATATCTATGAGAGTAAAAGTTTTGTAGTTGAAAATGTGAAAACAGTCAAAAACGCTCCTTTGGATAAGTTCTCTAACTTTGTATCCTGTTAATTCTGAGATGTCAAAACAGCTTAACTATTCAAGCCACTGTTTACATCATCTTTTTTCTGAAATGCATCCAAAAATTGTACGAAGTATTAGTTCAAATACTGTTTCTTGTGCATAAGAGCACCACAAACCTGGCAAAGGTCTTGGAGATATGGAGCACGATATTCTCTTTTCTAATGATGTTAAATACTTTAGTTTGAGCGTCGGCCTTGAATAGGCACTAGCTTCAACAAAGCAATTGATATCTGAAAAAAATCAAAATCCACATAGGGTCTATTGAATAGGGATTAATCTTTGAAATCACATTCACTTTGTCAAATACTGCACAAAACAGCATCCCAAATACGGATATTGGCAAATTTAGAAAGAGTGTGGGGTGCGAGTGTGGGTGTTAGTATGCAATAGTTTTACTTCCACACTAACACAATTACCTTTAAAGCCAACGAAAACAGGATATGGGTGGAAATTGGACACTTATTGTCGATCATGCTTTAGGACAACATTGTAATAGTGAAAGAGAAGTCTGACGTAGTTTATGTAGTGATTCAGATGTAGATATGGCCAATCGAAAGGTTAATATGATTATTAAAAGGTGAGAAAAGTGAACAAAAACCCATGTCAATCTACCGATCGGTAAGGTCTGGTCTGTCTGGTTTAGATCGGTACCGTTATCAGTAAGAAAAAACTCGACCGGTTGCAACACTAACATACCCACCATTGATCAAACTCACATCTGACTTTTTCGTATTTATTTAAACTAACAAATATTGCATTTCCGCTTTTTAATTTATCTAGTTGCTTGATAAGATTAAAGAAATACAGTGTTATACTGATAGGTAAATATAACTTTTTTAAAGATAAAGTCAACGTAAAGGCAACAGTACACAATCAAAATACCTCTGATATCTTGTTATTCATCATTATCAGCTAATCTATTATAAGAAGTTAATCAATCATAAAATTAAATTTGCTAAATAAACGTTACTAATACAATGGAAAACCAATTAAGATCTGCATCCGAGAATCATGCGATCAGTTCTCTTTCTTCATCTGCTGTAAATAGCGGTGATCATTATTATTCAACAGAAAACAACAACAGTAAAAACCTGGCATCATCATCCAATAGTACTGCAATAACTGCAAGTGCAGTTGTAGCTAAAACACATTCTATGCCTAGCAATGATCGCCGTGTTGAACACTGTCATAAATTATTAATTGATGGTGATGTTCAAGTGTGTCGCATACGTCGTGCGAGAAATAGTATAGAAAAACTACAATTATTTCACCGTTGGGAAAATCATCATATTAATCTTGATCAGAATGGAATAACTACAACAACAGTTTGTTTTTATATAATTACACATATACGTAGATAGATAATGGAAGTTTCTTATTTATTATTCTATAGAATGAAAAATATATGGATAAATTGATAGCTTATTCAGTCATCGAAGATATATCTGTATATTCGAAAACCAAAGTAATCAATTGGCATCATCGATTTTGTATAAGAATTGATACGAATCATTATATTTATTTTTTTCGAGTAAGAAAAAAAAAATATTGTTTTTCGACGAAAAATTTTTTAAATGACTACCATATCTGTTTTTCTTTTCTTGTTTTAGGTTAATAAACTTGATTTTAGAGACCAATTATTCTATTCAATACGATGGAAAGTATGTTATTATTAATATTCGTTTTAATTCATTTGTATTATATTTTATTTTCATAGCTAAATAAAGTAAAATTTGAACATAGTTTACGTTCAGCTAATAATCTAGAAGTATTGTTAAAAGAAATTACAGTAATTTAATTTTTATTATCTTGTAATTAAAAATATGAATGTATGTTGTTGTTTTGCGTTTCTGTTATTAGAATATGATCGATTTTACAATGACAATACCTATTGAAGATGTTGAAGTTCATCAGTTTCCACTTGAAATTATTTCTGATATTCTGCAACAAGTGAAAAGAAAAGAAATGTTCTTTTACTTTATGCTTTAATCTAAAATCTTTGTATACTCGTTCTTTTTATAGCAAGAATTTGATTCATCACGTTTTGTCCATGAGAATGTGATTGAAGCATTAGCACCATTACTTGAAAAAAATTATCCATCACCAGAGATATGTGATTTTTTTAGTCTAGTATGAATAACATATATATTCATCATGTGTTTTTGAAAAAAAAATTGTTACTTTTTCTTTTAGCATTGTCGTAATAGTCCACGCTCTCATATTGTAATTGAAATGTTTACACCGGCTGTTGAGAAAATTTTAAAACATAATACAGTTAAATTTAATAATCAAGATTCAAAATAAAAAAATATTAGGATTATTGTTTTTTTAAAGGATTTTAGTAAACGTCCAAGATTGAGAATACTTGTTCAAGAATATATACTTGCGCTTAATTCTCAACCGGATGGTTTAGGCATTGTAGAAGATTTTATTAAACGGTAATAAAATATTTATATTCATATGAAGCATTATTTTTATTTATCATAGGATGCATGGTCCTACAATGGTTTGTCCATTTCTGCGTGTTCTCTCAAACTTAATTTCTGTTTGTCTTGCTGGAATTAATAATTTTTTTGAAGATCGAAAAAAGTGAATATTTGAATTTTTTTTTGTACTTTCATAAAACTTATATACATGTATATATTATATTCGCTTGTATTAAATAGGTTTCGCTTAGAAGATGAAGCAATTTATCGAGCACATGAAGAAAAATCGGAAAGTCAATTAGTATGTTATACGACAATTTTGAAAATAATGTAAGCACGAAATGTATGAGTGATTCTGCATAAAACAGCTTAAATCTTAATAGTCCATGCTGCATGTTTGCTCGTAGTAATGGACATGAATTATCGCTCAAAGAACAACTATGAGCGTATTACAATAGGATGGTTTAGTCACCTGATCATCTATCTCACGGCGATGGTTCGGTTATTCGTAATTTTTGTCGTAATCTTGTTTGTCGTAATATGGCTGCTAATGTGCTATATTTCACTATGACACGGTTGCAATCTATAGATCAGGGTTATGACAAAATACGGCCTGTTTACATACCGTATTCCACCATAAATCTACTTTTCTTCTATATGCTACTTTTCGATTTATAGCATGCAAGTAATTATTTTGTTATTTTGTCTTAAATGAGACATTATCAATAGTAGTTAAGTACGAAACATTTTTTCTACTTGTCATGAATGAAGTTTACTTAGGAAAGCACTGCGTAGAACTTTAGTGTATTATAGTTTATCGTAAAGATTCTTGATCATATTATTGTTTTTTCATAAATAATATAAATGTATAGAATTGCTTTAACGATCAAAAGTATAATAATATTGAATTTTTCTTTTAATATAGATCCACATTTTACGACTGGCGACGTCATTTTGGTTTAGTTCTACAACCCGTTCCTTTTCAATATGAAGCATTAAGATATGAGCGTTTTATGGAGTAAGAATTTTTTTTTCTTCAAATGAAATATATTCTATGTTATTTGTGTTTATTGAAAATAGAATATTTAAAAATGTTGTTAAAAACTTAGTTGAAGATACACGATGTGAAGTTCATCGAACAGTGTTAGGTATTCGTGAAGGTAAAAATGGATGGTTTGAAATGTTTTGTTTGGGTGGTATTCTTTGTGATGATGATGGTAAAATGTTTTCACTAATGGTAAAGAAATTTTTTTAATACACAAGAACATTTTCTTTTTTTCTTCTTTGCATTTTGCTTTAGCTCAATAGATTAATTTTATGTTGTTGTCGAAGAAAACGTTTTTTATTAAGTATTAACAAATTATTACCATCTTTAATGTTACTTGCATTAAATGAAAATCAAAGTTCATTAGATGTAAGTATTAAATTTTTGAATATTCTAAAAATAAAAAAATTCATTCAGACTTTATGTGCAATGCTTGATTTGGATGCAGTTGAAAATAATGATAATAAATTACAATTAATATCAACATTGAAATCGACGCCAAGTGGGTTAAAAATGTATGCAAAAGTATGCGAAAGACAGAGAGCATTACAAGCATTACAACAGAAAGGTGGACCAAGGGAACTAACATTGCCGTCACGTTCAACTGATGATGATTTAGCAAGATTATTATCAACAGGCCCATTTGGTAATCTTGAATCTCTAAGTTTAGCATTTACGAATGTCACAAGCGCTTGTGCTGAACATTTAATCAAATTACCAGCATTGAAAAATTTAAATTTATGGTCAACACGAGTGAGTTGGATAATAAAAATTTTCATTCAAAACTATTATTATTGAATATTGTTTTATTTTAGTTTGGTGATGTTGGTTTAGAATTAATTTCCGAACATTTAAATCAATTAGAAGAACTTAATTTATGCGAAACACCAGTGACGGATAAAGGTCTTACTTATTTAGCATGTAAGGGTCATGATTTTTTTTTAATGTTTTCCATGCTGTATATATTTGGATATTTAGACATGACAATGTTACGAAAACTTAATTTAAATTCAACACATTTATCTCTTTTAGCGATTAAAGCTTTAAAAGTATATATTTGAAAATATAAATATTATAGTCAAATAAAACTACGGAATTCTTTTAGGAAAAATTACCAGCTTTAGAAGAATGTGATATACGATATACAGAGGCTTGGTAGAAACATGCTTTTATTTTTGTTATTACAATAATCTTCAAATCACAAGTCTCATTCATTATCATCCACGAACAAAGACGTACTATTCAGATTGATGTCAATTTTGTTGGTTTTTTTTGGACTGTAAAAGTGAATATTTACTTACAGTCCAGATTTGTCCTGCATTCGTGTGTCTTTATTCTTATTTTTGTGTATTATATGTACGATGACAGATGCATTCAAGCAAATATGATAAATATTTTTCTCTTGTTCTTGACGAACTGTTTGTTTCATGTGCGTTATTTTTTCTTTCTCGAGTTGATTCTGTGTACTGTATTACTGTGTACATTATTGTATTGCAAAAACTCGATATGTATATAAACAATATCTTACTGAATATGCTTAATTGTGCGTGTACTATCTGATGTAATCTGGTCTGACCGTTTACATTCATTCGCAAAATGGATTCGATATGACCACATAGCACATAAACAAACAGCCACCTCTTGCACCACAGTAACGTGTTGCGTATTGAGCTAATGATGAGAAGTGGGATCTCTGTACCAAAATACCCACCATCTAATTAGTCGAACGCAGCCAATCTTTCTTATATAAGAGGGCATAAATCATTTCTGCAGCATTTGTGGCCTATACATGCAATGGGTAGCTTACGGTTATGTGCGACTTGTTGACATAGCTTCTCAAAACGTTTCAACGACAGTTTACGTTGTACTGGAGAAATCTCATTGTTGAGGTATGACTGTAGAGCTTGCTGTTGTTGACGATCCTCTATAGTTTCTATTTATTAGAGAAATACTCTATCACGATTGAAATTAAATTTTCATTCAATTGTATTGGTTTTATAGTTTGAGCGTAAGATTCCAAACCAGTTGTAAATATGTGCCACAATAGCTAGATGTTATTCGTTTGTTAGCTTACAGCTAGATACATTCTGATATATTTTATCCAAGGTTACTTCATTGAGAAGCAGTAACGAAGCAAAACTACGTTCGAACTGTTTATAAAAATCCTTTTTCTTGTCTCTTGGAGATGATGTTATTACCAATAACTACGAAGCACATTTATTCTTTAATTCATCAATTCTTTTTTGAATTGTTTCTCAGTATAAAATAGTTGCTATACCTGTATCTTTTTTCAGAATTGCATCGTCCACCGACTGTAATGAAAGACCACTATCGATATCGTGTATACGAACATTTTTAGAATAATCTTTTAACAAAGAAAATGGAACAAACCTTAGTGAATCTGTTGACAACAGCGAGATATTACACGATTCAAGCTTTCAATGGTAATAGTTAGTATTAGTTTCGTTCTTAGATGCAAGTCAGAAAACTTTCGATAAACAAACTACAGCACCAAGCTTCTTCTATTTTTTCGCCAGTTATTGTAGGCATGTGTGGGATCGTCAAAAACTATCACTAGTCATACCAACTGGTAAGAGCCGGTGATAGAAGCTGATTAATTAATCAAAATCAAGATTTGAAACATCTTTTGCGTAGCTGTTGTATCATCAAAACAGTTGTTAACTTGCAGTCTGCAGCTACTAAGGTTTTAACCCTCGTTATTTCGTTGCGTCTCTAGTAGTAAATGCGAGTATGTACACATGGGTAAATGGCGCTTTTGAATACCAGCAGCTGTATCGCCGCATCCGCACCAACCCAAACAACCATACCTACAACCACACCCAAAACAAATTCAACAAGAACACCATCGACAAGAAAAATATAAAAACGATTTACTATACATTCGATTATAATTATGTTCAGAAGCTAATAAATTTTATTTGACCTATGAAAGTAAAACACTTCTAGGAAAAAAATATTAATCAAGTAATATCGTAAAGATAACGACTTCAAACATAATCGAGTAGCAATCGATAAACTCAATTGTGAACAGTCATTTACGAAAATCGAGCAAGAAGCGTGAATTTCCTTTTTTTGTCATACAAACACAATCATAGCGTCAATCGAAAAAAGACTGACCCATCTATCTTGAAGAAAAGACAAATACAATCTGCTAGCATTCGACGTTTGCTTTTCAATAGTCGATTCTTTTGTCGAGATTTAGATGAAATTTTAAATAATAATTTATTGTGACTTCGTCCCAGAAAAAAAATAATTTTAAGAACTGTAGATTTTAATATGTCAACGCGTTTCATATTCTTTAATGAAATATTAAAACACTCTTCAGGGCTCTGCATTAGATGCTCACGCACAAGCTAAAAAATAAAAATACATATGCTAATGTAAAGATGAATAAAACATACAAGACCAAACACAATAAAAAATAAGAAGAGAAAAGAAAAAAGAGCAATAAATAATGCAAATCTTTGAATAACTGAAATAATACGACATTAAACAACTGTAATCATTCACGTGATATTAACCAGGTTCTTACTCTACACAGTTTACTTGTATAAAGATGTCTGATTACATTCATCATAAGTCGTACATTTTAATTTTGGTTGTTATATTTTAATTTCTATTCCTATATATTTGTTTCTGCATAAGTTTTTTTTAGAAAGAGTTTTTTGCACAATTAATGAAACACACCATTTTGATTCAATTTATCATATTGTGCTACGATAATTTTTCACTATAAGCCATACATTTTAATTTTAACATTTATAAATTCGTTTATACCTAAATTCCTCAAAAAAAAAATTTCCTGTAAAGATAACATAACGAATTTATTTTGATTAAGTTAATTATATTGTGACAAATATAGTTCTCTATTATAACAGATACAATACATCATAATAAGTTGCCCAATTTTAATTTTTATCTTAATAAGTTAAATAATATAACCAATCTATTTCATTTTCATTTTCAACAAAATCAGATTGAATAAATATTATTTATTATGTATTAGCTGTTGTTGTAAATTTTTGACATTACGAGTACCTACGACTGGTTTTATTTCATCTATTGAATAACCCATAAAATATTTCTTCCAAAGGGCATGAAGTTTTGCCGAAAATGTTTTTATATTTAAACAATAGATAAAATGAATAAACATTGTTTTACCATAATCAATTGGAATTTTTTCTTTTTTATCTATATAAATTATTTTCTCACGTAATGTTTTATAATTGTTTGTCGATAATGGCTGAATCAAATTATGTTTTTGCACTGAATGACGTAAATGAATTACAAAATAATTCAAAAACACTGAATTACAAAATAATTCACTTTCTATTAGTTTCCACCAGGGTCTAGGGTCTACCAGGGTCTACCAGGGTCTAGGGTCTACCAGGGTCTACCAGGGTCTACCAGGGTCTACCAGGGTCTAGGGTCTACCAGGGTCTACCAGGGTCTACCAGGGTCTAGGGTCTACCAGGGTCTAGGGTCTACCAGGGTCTACCAGGGTCTACCAGGGTCTAGGGTCTACCAGGGTCTACTAGAGTCTCGATGTGGGTGCTGCGAAACAACATACATCACATCTATCTCGTTGTGGGTGCCGCGAAACGACTTACATCACGTCTCTCTCGATGTGGGTACCGCGAAACCCTGGTAGACCCTGGTAGACCCTGGTAGACCCTGGTAGACCCTGGTAGACCCTGGTAGACCCTGGTAGACCCTAGACCCTGGTAGACCCTGGTAGACCCTGGTAGACCCTGGTAGACCCTGGTAGACCCTAGACCCTGGTAGACCCTGGTAGACCCTAGACCCTGGTAGACCCTGGTAGACCCTAGACCCTGGTAGACCCTGGTAGACCCTGGTAGACCCTAGACCCTGGTAGACCCTGGTAGACCCTAGACCCTGGTAGACCCTAGACCCTGGTAGAAACTAGTAGAAAGTGAATTATTTTGTAACTCAGTGTTTTTGAATTATTTTGTAATTCATTTACGTCATGGTCTCTGTTTTTGAAATACTCGACTGAATGGTTTTTCTATAAATTCACCAGGATATTTATTTAACAATAAAGCCATTCTTAATTTTTCACGTTCATATAAATATGCTTCGAATGTTGAACAATATTTAATAGTATGAATTAACATAGCAAATGGAATATTCTAATTCATATGCGTAGAATGAACACTATTAAATGGTAAATAATATGATTCATAAGATGGTTTGTGATAAAATTTTGTGGGAATAATTCATCATTTTTATTTTCTATGTATAAATTAAGCAAATTTGTCGAATGACTAACTTCACCTTTTAATTTGATATTTAAGTCAAATTTACTCTATCGATCAATTTGTTGAAATAAATGTTGAGTAGGCCAGTTTATCGTAATAAATATATCATCAATATATCGCAAAAGAGTTCACCACTATTATTGATTTGCATCACGACATGTCATTCAAAAAAGAACATATAACAATTAGCAATTGTTAATGTTAACGGAGAACCCATAACACCACTACGTACTTGATGATAACATTTTCCATTATAAGGAAAATAATTATTATGTACCATGAATCGACATAAATGAATAATAGTTTCAATTTTTAAATCATTAATTTTTTTTATGTTTAAGTAATCGAACAGTTTTTTAATTGATAAAATTCCTTCTGTTTGTGGTATCATCGTATAAAGACTTAAAACATCCATTGTACATAATAAAGTTTCTTGACGTATATTACATATTGATCATTGATGTAACTGTTTAATAAGTTCAGTTCCAGAAGTAACAGTTGTATTTGATGTCATTTTATTAAATAGTGGTCGAAGTAATTCATCGAGAACCTTTGATATTTTTATAGTTGGATGTTTGAGATCAGAAATAATTGGACGAAGTGGAGTGCTAGGTTTATGAGCTTTTGGTAAAGAATAAAGATGATCTAATCCCATTTCATTTGGTTTAATGCCTGATTGTTGATATTGTTTCTGTGTAATCCATTTAGTCAATCTTAAGTTTAATAGATATTTATTTGTACGTTCAATTAAATTTGGTAATGGATTATTTTGATGTAAACATTCATATGCTTCAGTTTTTTTCCATATATTCATCGGATTTTTTGTGATAATCTTGCAATTTACCTAAATGAAAAACTTTAGATTTATCTGTTTTTTGAAGAACTATACACGTCGAACAAAGCGTATGTTTCAATCGTTTGACCAGTCTACCATAGTTCTTCGTTTTTTCAGTTATAACTTGACATTTAGTAATTTGATATTGATTCAATTGAATCTTTTCTAATAAACTATCATGTGAAATTATTTCACATCGTTGTTTATGTTTTCGATTTGTATTACTAATAGATGTATCATGTAGATACTTTAATATAATATCCAATTAGGCTATAAATTGTTCGACTGTTCGGTCGGGGCTTACCTTTTTTTTTCGAAAAGTCGAGCTTCAATTTTACGTTTTAACATAGTCCACTCAGTTGTACGTCGTCGAGAAGCCGCTTTTGGATCATTATAAATAAACCGAGGACCTAATTTTAATAATTGATGTTCTTCCTCGGTTAATCTTGCTTGTGCTTCATTAATTATAGTTGGAGCGAGCAATCCTCCCCCAACGATCGTGTGACAGTCAAGGCAACAATTTCTTCTTGCTCGTTGACGGCGCCCTCAACTCGCTGTTCTTCTAAAAAATAGATCGATTGTTCAGCTTCGAAATTAAAACGTTTTTCACGTAATTCATTATAATGTTTAAATGCTATATAACCAGCATCCGATTCAATATCAAATCCTTCGTCAATTTTCTTGTGAAAAACCTTTCATAACAAATTTAATTTCATTTTTTAATATTTCTTTTTCACGACTTATTCCTTGTTAATATAAAGACATTGCTTGAATACGATATTCTTTAGTTAATTGACGCATTTGATCATATAATATTTAAGCTTCTTCTTTACTTATTATTGATTCATCAATTTTAAATGTCAAATTAACATTTGAAATAAATTTTGGAGGTAAATCATATTCTACACGTTTGGTAGCTGTAAGATAATTTTTATTTTTTGTACTTCATTGTTTCATTTTTAGTTTTAACATCAAATGAATATTCCATTGATTTGGAGTAGCTATTTTCTTTGAAATCTTCTAATGCTTTATATTCTTCTATTTGTACTTGTGCTAATCTAATTTTATTTTCAGCTATGTGTTTTTAACATGTTGTGTACAATGTTGAATATATTTTAAAATTGCTGTTTTCAGTCGATCAACTGCATCACGAATTCGACCAGTATTTGCTGCTGATGATGAAATTGTTGCAGTTCTTGAATTTATTGCATCAGCTGTAGTTTGAGTCCAATAAGTACTTATTTGAACTTGTCGATTCGTGATTGTAGCACTCGCTTGAGCTATATTACTTGTTAATCAATTGAACTTTTTCTTGATAAATCGACTATTTGTTACATCATCACGTTTTTCTTGTGCGTGTAATAACTTCTTTGTCCAATGTTTATCTTGTGTGTCCATTTTAAAATATGTTTGCCAAACTTGAAGCTCATAACTATTTCGAATCCATTCATCATATATTGGAGCTTTAGCTAATATATAAGCTTGATTACCATGACCACCAACAATAACTGATGAATTATCTTGCATGTAACGTATTATTCGATTGGATTCTAAATAAATTCGTCGTTTAAGCTTTGTATTATTATTTTTATCACTTATTCGATTCATTTTGTTTTGTTTCATTTGTTCTTTTTCATTGTGATCAGCAATATCATATTCTGCTATTGATTTTTGTTGTTCAGTTGTTCAGTCGAAGCCGACTCTTCGTGACCTGATGAACTTTAATACGCC